TCATCAGCCCATCCTGGTGGGCACTGGCCAAGCTAAATGCTGAGTCACTGGACCAGTTCACAGGAGCAACTGTTGGAACTGGTTCTGAAGCTTTGTCAGGAATCCCTATACCCCAAACCCTTCATCAAAGCACTGCAGGGGTTTCTCTGGACTTGTGGGAAACTGAGATCAATGTATCTGAATTTGACTCTCTCCTTCCCACCAGTCAAACCCCAACCATCTGGGCTTCCTTGCATCTGTAACCTCACCTGGGCACCCAAGCACTTCCTTGAAAGGCCTTTTTTTCACTTGCTTGGACAGCAGGATGTGCCATTAGTGATTTAATCTCCACAAGACATTTCTCCTGAATTGCTAGTCATGGATGATAATTAGCGACTGTTAATTCCTGATAATTAACAAATTAATATTTAGAGATAATGATACTCAGGTAATCATCTTAAAAAGCTCAAAGCTGCTACTTCTGGGCCACTTCTCCAAAGAATGACACTGCAAGTTGACATCTCTAAGCCAGGAGTTAGCTGGAGCCGTGCATGTTTGTTTATGAGGGCAATGAATGGAGAATTGATTACTCTAATCTTTAACTTAGTTCTCTTATCTGATTTCAGGACCAATACATGTTCTTTTAGAAGCTTTGTTGAGTACAAAGAACTATTTAAAAAAAGCGTAACCTAATTACTTGGAAGCATTCACCATCAGCATTTTGGTTTATTTCTTCCCAGTTTGTATACTTTTTACACAGTTGAGTTTATGTGAAATGTGTGGTTTTGCATTCAACTTAATTCATTTAATATTTTAGCATAAACATCTTCTCTTGTGGTAGCAACTTATAAAAAACTGTCTGCTTCCCTCATCAGAAAAAAATGAACGCAGAAGACAGATGGGATTCATAGGTTGGAGAAGCAACCATGCAAGGGCAGAGACTTCAACAAAGGCCTAATTATGTAGGAACAAGGCATATACTCCAGGCTAGAGTGTCTTTAAGGGACTCCTGTCCTTGTGGAAGACATTGGATGGGAGAATATGGGCACACACACACACAATTATTTAGAAGAAAGACTGGGAAGGCAATGAATTAAGATGTTAATGGTGGAGGTTTCACAAGGAGAAGTGCAGGTAGTTTTCATTTTCTGTGTTACGATTTTCTGTGCAGCACAGAGAAAAAAGCATTGGATCAGCACTTAGCATGCTTCTAATTCACGCCCTTGTCCCTTAGCAACTGACTCGTAACCTCAGGTACTTTTCCTCTCTGCAACTTGACTTTCTTATGTGCAGGAAATATTAGCTCTGCCATCCTACAAGGTGGTTTTCAGAACCAGCAAGACTGGGATACAGTGCCCCTCCGTGACACAATACCAGAAGCTATGCTTGAACGACCCCAATAGGAAGTCCTCATGAACACTTGCCACTTAAAAAGAACACTCTTCAGATATTGCATCTCATCCATTTCTAGATTGTCTTAGCCACCTATATTGGATATTTTTCCAATGCTCCTTGAACCCATCTGTTTCTTCAGTAAGGAGATGATGTAGTTCGAGCATAGACTTTGGAGTTAGACCTGGGTATGAATCCACAGTCTGACATCCTGTCAGTCAGGGATCCCCAACGCTCACATCACCTGCGTGTCAGGAACTGGGCTGCACAGCAGGAGGTGAGCAGTGGGTGAGCAGATCTCCGTCTTCTGTCAGATCAGCTGTGGCATTAGATTCTCACAGGAGCACGGATCCTGTTGTGAACTGGCACGCCCAGGATCCAGGTGGTGCACTCCTTAGGAGACTCTCATGCCTGAGGGTCCCCTGCCACCTGTTGTCCGTGGAAAAATTGTCTTCCATGAAACCAGTCCTTGATGCCAAAAACGTTGGACTTGCTGCTGTAGGCTACTTAACATCCATAAGCGTTGGTTTCTTCATCCATAAGATGGGGCTGATAGTAACCTACCTGTAGGTTTATTGTGAGGTCCCAATGAGATAATTGTGTATAAAGGGCGTTGCACAATGCCTGGTATCTAATCGGTACTCAGTCAATATTACTTTCTTGCAAATGAATATGATGACATAACAGAAACATAAATATAATTTTGTAATGGATAAGATTGTTATTTTTCACCCCGGGTTGCATTCCATAAATGTATTGCACACTCTGGAAAGGGTATGTAACACGTTTTTTGTTTTTCCTAAGCACGCTGTTGTAGTGTGGCAGGCAAGATCACCTTCACCCTATTCTTTTATTTCTTGCATTTTCAGATTCCAGTTCAATCTCCTCTCCATTTTGAGCTTTCCAAATTGCCAAGACCTAAATCCTTTTCATCTCTCTCTGTCAAGCTTAACATTATAATGGGCTGCTCAGCTTCGGTTGGGCGACAGAGGTCATGTTTGAGAAACTCTGATTTGCCTTCTCTGTAAGAGTCAAGGGCTTAGCCCGTTGTTGCTTAATAATAATACCTCACTCCAGGATGAGGCTTTAGGATTTTTCCAGGCATGCTTGTGTCTGCGACTGAGTTCCCTCTCTCCAGCCGTTCCGTGGCGTGAGCAGGAGAGGTCCTGCCATCCTTCATGGTGGCCGCGTGGCTCCTAAAGTGGGTTTCACAGAACATGATGTCATTCTGTGGTCAGATAAGCCTGGACTGAGCAAAGCGAAACGGGCTTTTCGGGCCTCTGACACAGTGTGCAATGTGGTTCTTCCAAGAGCCAGATGCAGTGTTTCCCTCGCTGTTCCTTGCCAAAGAGCCCCTTGTTTTGAATATGCCATGAGACTATAGCTCCATGGGATCCACTTTGGAGATGCTCCTGGGGGTGGCCTGAGGAAGGCTTGAGAATGAGGCGAGGTGAGGGTCACACACAGGCCCGCCACTTGCTGAGTGGGCCTGTGCAAGCATCTTAGCCCTTCTGACCCTCAGTCTGCTCACCTGTAAAATGAGGATGGAAACAGAGTCCCAATGATCAAAACAGAGAATGAAGTGTTTCGCGGCATACCTCAGCTTTTGGTATTATTATTCTCTTCCTCTATGTTATCTGGGAGAAAAACGGGCCCCCGAGAGTGCCTTAGTCTGTTTTGTGTTGCTAAGAGAGAATTTCTGTGATTGGGTAATTTATAAAGAAAGTGGGTTTATTTAGCTCACAGTTCTGCAGGCTGAGAAGTTCAAGGCCAGGGCCCTGGCTTCTGGTGAGGGCTTTCCTGCAGCAACACAAGGAGGTGAAGGTCAGAAAGGACACGGAGGAGACCTGAGACTTTCTAACATCCTGGTCTCATGGGAGCTGACCGGCTCCTTCTGACTAATCCAGCCTCCAAAGGCGCAGGCTCACCCCCTCCTTGGAGACCAGCACCCCAGCCTTCTCGAGGGATCCCCCATGACCCAAACACCTCCCACTAGGCCCCGCCTCAGCTGCTGGGACAGGGATGGCACTGCAGAGCCAGGAGCAGGGTGGCCCCACTTCTCACAGGGAGCACTCGTCTCCCTGCTCTTCAACTCATGGCGTGAGCTCAGATTCTGCGGGTAAGTCTGGCTTTCGTCGCTTGCCAGCGGTCTCACGTCCACTGTGCCGCAGATCCCAGCTGGGAGAGAGGACACTGCCGGGCAGGGCCCTGGTCACAGAGAGTCCCACCAGGACGCTGCTGCACCTCTTTCCCAAGCATTGCTCATGCCCCGTTGCAAAATTTCTGGTGTTGCAGTATTGCAGGGGCTGGAGAAATTTGCTGACAGCGTGGCAACCTTACAGCCATGATGGCTCCAGTGAGACTCTGCTAGAGGTGCCCCACACCCCGCCCTCTTCTAGAATCGCTCCACCTTCCATCCCCCCTAAAATCTCAGATTTTAGCAGGCAAACAACCCACCCGGGTCACCTAAAATGCCCATTCGAATCCAGAAAGTAGGAGGGGCCAGAGTGTTGACTTTCCCTGCAAACTCCCTGGTGACCCGATGCTGCTGGTCCATGGACTGCAGGCTGAGAACACAGATCGGTTGTTCTGGACGTTGGCTGCATGTGAGTGTCACCTGCAGGCACTGACAAAGACCATTGCCCAGGTCCCGCTGGAGGCAGGGTGTCAGAGTCTCTCAGGGCAGCTCCCAGGAAGCCTGACCCCATCCTAGGTGGTTCCAGGTCGTGGCCCGAGTGCAGGAGCCCTGAGCTGACTGTGGGCTCCTGGGGTCGGCGCTGCCCACCTTGCTCCCCGCGGTGGTCCAGCTCCAGGCCCAGTGCCAGACCTGGCAGGTGTCCATCGGTGTGCTCCTGACTGGCCTCGCATAGACCCCGCTTCTCTCTGGCTGCCGCAGAGCCGGCTCTGCCAATGTGCCGTGGCAAGCAGGCCAGAGTGGGGCCGTTTCTGGGTCGGTGGATCTGGCAAGCTGGACCGTGGTGTGGCTTCTTTACTTGTGGCGACTAGGTCCTCCAACTGATCAGAGTCACATGAGGAAGACACTTTCCCCGGAAAGCCTTCCCTGCCCCTGTGCCTCGTCCGAGGCTGCCACCACTACCCCTTGGAGCGTGCGGCTCTGACAGAGGGCACTTGAGCCTCAGGACCCTTCTCAACACAGAAGCCCAGCGAGAAGAGTTCTCTTCGCCACTCTTCCTCTGTGCTACCTGGGTTGGTAGCACAGAGGAAGAGTGGGCTATAGGCAGTTGTTCTGGGGATACCTTTGTTCTCCCGCTGGATGGGGAGCACTTTAAGGGAGAGATCAGTGGCCTTTTATTTTGGTGTTTCCCAAGTCTGGCACCATGTCATGTTCATTTTTGTATTTCCAAGTCTGGCACAATAGGTTCCTGAATGAACGAATGGTGATGCCAGGGGGACTCCCAGAGAGGACAAGGGGGCCCTTGCAGTGGCATGCAAAGAAATCTGTGAATTCCTGGGGGTTGGAGAGCAGGGCGGCACCTCTGTTGTGGGCCTGGTGTCTGGGAGTTTCCTGGCGGCGTCCACCCACCATGATCTGAGTGCAGCTGACTGGCTACTGGTGCTCATCTTGGTCTTCTCAGAGCCTGGCCACTGACACTCGCTCCTGTCTCTCCCTGCACCCAGAGCCCACCGGTGCCAGCAGGAGCACAGCCGCTGGCTTCTCAGCGACCATCCGGGAAGATGAGTGCCTGCGGGAGGAAGGCCCTGACCCTGCTGAGCAGCGTCTTCGCCGTCTGCGGGCTGGGCCTGCTGGGCATCGCCGTCAGCACCGACTACTGGCTGTACCTGGAGGAGGGCGTGGTGGTGCCCCAGAACCAGAGCACCGAGATTAAGATGTCCCTGCACTCGGGCCTTTGGAGGGTCTGCTTCCTTGCAGGTACGGGCACCCCCAGCTGGGGACGGTTCACCGTGGATGGTCCCTCGAAATGCCAGGTGGTGCTCCCCGGGGACCAACACCTGCTCCTCATTCAAGGCCTGAATCTCCAGGCCTGTCGGAGCGAGGCCTTTCTGCTCCCTGCTCTCTTGCCTGAAAGGCAGGTGTGCCGTGTCTTGCCCACACTGCCCCAGGGCTGCGTGCGAGGGCACCGCGCAGGTCTCAAGGGCTCGGGCTCTTCCGCCTGCTGGACTACCACTCCCGTAACCCTCCCAGCAGCGCTGCAAGACACGACTTCCTAGCTCCACTTTGCAGTGAGGAAACGAGGTTCGGGGAGGTTGAGCCAGGCTCCTCCACTTCCTGGCATCCACTAGTTGGCAAGGGGAGAAACACTTCGCAGTTCCTCTGCTTCTCTGTCTATGAAGTGGCACAGAGGAAGCCCAAAGCAGCGTCCTCCCGCTCTGTGGTGCCAGGGAGGCTTTGGATTCAGCTTTCTGGCTCCCACTCTGCTCACTTCTCTGGAACCTGGAGTTGCTACTCCAAGATCCCTGTCCTTCATCCCTTCCTGATGGCGCAGGACCAGCCCAGCTGGCCAGGACTGCCACAGTGGTCACCGGAATTCTCTCTCTCTCTCTCTCTCTCTCTCTCTTTTTTTTGAGTTGTAGTCTCACTCCATCACCCAGGCTGGAATGCAATGGCACACTCACGGCCACCCCACCGTTGACTTGCTGGGCTCTGGTGATCCTTCTGCCTCAGTCTTCCAAGTAGCAGGAACTGCAGGCGTGTACTACCACGCCAGCTAATTTTTGACTTTTTTATTGTAGGGATGAGGTTTCACCAAGTTGCCCAGGCTTGTCTCGAACCCACTTGCCTCGGCTTCCCAAAGTGCTAGGATTATAGGCTGAGCCACAGAGCCTGGCCTGGGATTTTCTCATTTAAAATACCATTTTAAGGAACTACCTGCCAAAGTGAGACCCAAACTTTACCTACACAATGACCATTTGTATACCTAACCTCAAACTGTACCCCACATCTTTAAAATAAAAACATATTTTTTAAAAAGGAGCTACCTGCAAGCCCATGTTCAGGAAGGACCTGGAGATGTGATTCTTATGTCCACAGGTGAGGAGCGGGGACGTTGCTTCACCATAGAATATGTGATGCCCATGAACACCCAGCTGACATCCGAGTCCACGGTCAACGTTCTAAGTAGGTGCCTCATACTTTGCAGCTGGGCCACTGGCTGGACAGAGAGGAGCAGGGCAGAGGGAGGAACCAGGATGAGCAGCGTATTCCTCTAAGCCGGCGCCCTTAGACTCTGCTGGGTGTGCTGGCCTGAGGTCATGGGAGCTTGCCCTGCTGATAGACTTTCCAGTGGTGGACACAGGTTCCGGAATCTGCAAGTCTAGTGACCAAGGCGGGTGAGAGGGCTTCACACCCAGAGAACTGAACTCTCTGGACCCCAGTGAGACTGACTTCATGGTCATGGCCTCATCAGAGTTGATCCTTCCCCAAGAGTAAACTTGCAATACTGTAATGCAATGCTATATTAGCCACCTCAAGTTAACACAACTGTACGGGTTTAAGGTCTCCGACTGCAACAAGACTGCCCTTTCAGACATCGGCTACAAGCTCATAATCTCCCAGGCCACCTGCGCTTCTGACCAACTGGCTACAAACGTGGGAGTTTTCATAACTCCCTAGGTTCACTAATTTGCTAGAATGGCTCACAGAGCTCTAAAGCACCACACTTACCATGACAGGTTTATTATGAAGGATGCAAATCAGGTTCAGCCAGATGCAGAGACACATGGGACGAGGTCAGGGAGGGTCCTGAATGTGGGGCTTCTAGGCCTTCGCCCTGTGGAATCAGGATGTGTCCCCATCCTACACAGTGAGGTGTCCATCAACCAGGAAGCTCGAGTGAGTTTTTTGTACAGAGGGTTTCCTAACGTAGGCATGATTGGTTGATTTCTTGACCATGTTACTGAACTCAATCTCCAGCCCCTTTCCTTCCCCAGAGGTCAGGCTGATCTCATCCGGCTCAAAACGCCAATCCTCTCAACACATGGTTGGTCTTTCCAGTCCGCATTCTGAGTCGCCTCGGTAGCATAAACTCAGCCCACCATGAATAACAAAGACTCGTATCCTCAGAAAATTCTGAGGATTTAGAAGTTATCAGGAACCAAGGACAAAAACCAAACCAATTTTAAAAAAATGACGGAACAAATGCTCCCCTAGTAATTAAAAGTTGAAGAAGACAGAGGCCATGACTGTCCCTTGTACGACTCAAAGCAGCCCCTTGCCCACGGAGATGGCAAATCTCCCTGTAAGAGGAAGCAAGATGGAGTGACCAGGCCCTCCCACAGGTGTCATATGGGCAGGCAGTGTGCACTCTCGGGCAAAAGGTAGTTTATGCCCAGAGGAGATGACAGAGGTCCAGAATATGCTGGCTCTTGAAATCAGACCTTCCAGCCACACCTCAGGGACAAAAGCCCGACCAGCACTGCAATGTCCCCAGGCCACCCAGTGGAGAATGGAGCGTGGCGGACACATGCAGGGTGGGTTTGAGGGCCCGTGGGTAGACACTGCCAGGAATACATGCCTCGGGATGATGAGAGGCAAGTACAGCCTGCAGGCTGATGGGCCATCTTCCATCTTCTTAACTAGAAATGATTCGCTCAGCCACGCCGTTCCCTCTGGTCAGCCTCTTCTTCATGTTCATTGGATTTATCCTGAGCAACATTGGACACATCCGCCCCCACAGGACAATCCTGGCTTTTGTCTCTGGCATCTTCTTTATCCTCTCAGGTAAGTTGTGCTGCTTTCTTTTCATACACTCTGCACTTTTCATATTTAATTCCTAAACTGCTCTGCTTTGGGAAGTCCTGGAAGTAGGACAAGCTAAGTCAGTAACCCGGGCAGAACTGGGTCAGAGCTGGAGACTTCCGATGCTCTGGGCCCATCGTCACCTCCCAGGAAAACCACAGAGGCTCCCGAGGAGGGGTGTCTGAACAGGCTCACCCTGGGTCTGAGTTGGGATTGAAATCAGGGTCCATTCCTCACTCCGTGCATCCCCACTCCTTAAGAACTTGTAAATTCCCACCAATGATGAGTATTCCTGCTTTTGAAGAGGCTGGGTCTTCATATATTTGCATAAGCAGTGAACACGATCTGTCTTTGGAATAATGGTCTCTTCGCCCCTGAGCCCTCGGCTGACCTCAGGAGATTCAGTGTGTCTCCTTCACTCTCAGTCACACCTCACACCCCGGCCCTCCCCGGCCCCTTCCACATGGACCTGCCTTCCTGAACTGATACCGGGCTGTGCTTCCTTCCCTCATGCATGCTCTCCGCCAGGCCTTATTGCGAGTGCCCACAAGAAGGCCAGTGTCATGAGAGATTCGAACGTGTGACAGGAAATACGAGCCCAGTGCAGAAAGGGCTATGCTGGAGGTCAGCAAGGACTGCCGTGGGGGTCAGGAGCAGCATGGAAACTCAGTTCAAAAGTTGGTCAAGGAGGGGGAGAAGGAGGAGGGTGAGAAGCAGGATGCATAGGAATCGGGCAAGGAAGTGAGGCTGGAGGTGAGGAGGGAGTCTGGAGGGCAGAGGAAGGCTGGTGCACGGGGGGAACAACACTTCACTCCTCACCATGGCGAGTGCCAAGAGAAGTGTGCAAGGAGACACTGGGGAAGGCATCCGAGGTCGTCTTATGGATTCGGGACTTCGTGAGAAACCTTAGAAGAATTTGAGCTAAGGGATGGCACAACTAGATTTGGATTTTAGAATGACCACTGTGGGGAATGGAGGGAGGGAGGGGAGTAAGATCAGAGGCAGGGAGACTAGGCAAAAGCCTACTCCAGTAGCACAGGAGAGTTGGTGATGAGGGCCCAGATGGGAGAAGGATAGCAGAAGAGAGAGAAATGAGAGAGTTCAGGTGGCATTTGGGGGGTAACTCAACAGGACTAGGACCAGGCTCCAGAGAAGAGTCGAGGGTTCTTGCTCAAGCACTGGATGGATGGAACATCACATCCTTGCTCAGGGATCACAGAAGGGTCAGATCATGAGTTTCATGTGGGAAATACTGAGTTTAAGGTGTCCTTGTGATATCTGTGAGAAGGTGTCCAGGAGGCTACTAGAGGCCAGGGTCTAAGGACTCATGGGAATGACTTGCACCAAAAAGAGAAATTTGGGAGCTGTCAGCCCCGGAAGTAGGAGAGGGACTTATGGGCATGAATGAAATCTCTGACAAGGGGTGTGTAGAATGAGAAGGAGAGGGAACTGGAAAATAAAGGTGGGCTGTTTCACCCCTTCAAGATAACCTGTACATTTTCGTGGAGACTTTTTTTTTCCCGAGAGATAAAGATGCAGACCGAAGGAGTGACTCTCGGGGGCATGCATTTTAGGTGCCCTGGACTGGTTGATCAGGGAGGAGAATCTGGGGAGGGGATGGTTGGGTTAATGGTTTGAATAATGGATGGATGGATGAATGGGTGGGTGGGTGGATGGGAGGATGGAGGGGTGGCAGGATGGGAAGATGGAGGGGGGGATGGATGGGTGGGTGGATGGACGGATGGGTGGACGGGTGGGTGGATGGGTGGATGGATGGGTGGATGGAAGGATTTATGGACAGGTGGGTGGATAGATGGGTGGGTGGATGGGTGATGGACGAGTGGGTGGACAGGTGGATGGATAGATGGATGGGTGACTGGACAAATGGATGGATGAGTAGATGGGTGGATGGGAGGATGGAAGGGTGGATGGATGGTGGATGGATGGACAGGTGGGTAGATGGGTGGATGTATTGGTGGGTGGATGGGTGAATGGAAGGGTGAATGGACAGGTGGACAGATAGATAGATGGGTGGATGGACAGGTGGATGGATGGGTAGATGGGTAGATGGATAGATGGATGAATGGGTGGATGGATGGGTGAGTGGGTGGATGGGTGGGTGGATGGAAGGTTGGATGGAAGGATGGACAGATGGATGGGAGGATGGGCAGGTGGATGCATGGGTGGATGGAAGGGTGGATGAATGGGTGAATGAATAGATGGATGGGTGGATGGATGGGTGGATGGACAGGTAGATGGGTGGATGGGTGGGTGGATGGAAGGGTGGATGGATGGATGGGCAGATGAATGGGTGGATAGACAGGTGGATGGATGGTGGATGGAAAGGTGAATGGACGGATGGGTGTATAGATGGATGGGTGGATAGACAAGTGGATGGGTGGGTAGATGGGTGGAGGGGTGGATGGGAGGATAGGGGGGTGGATGGATGGGTGGATGGATGGACAGGTGGGTGGATGGGTAGATGAATTGGTGGGTGGATGGGTGGATGGAAGGGTGGATGGACAGGTGGACAGATAGATAGATGGGTGGATGGATAGATGGATGGGTGAATGGACGGGTAGATGGGTGGATGGATGGATAGATGAATGGGTGGATGGATGGATGGGTGAATGGATGGATGGGTGAATGGGTGGTTGGGTGGGTGGATGGATGGATGGACAGATGGATGGGTGGATGGACAGGTGGATGGACGGGTAGATGGGGTGGATGGTTGGATAGGTGGGTGAATGGGTAGACGGATTGGTGGGTGGATGGATGGATGGATGGGTGGATGGATAGATGGATGGGTGGATGGATGGATAGATGGGTGGATGGATGGATAGATGAATGGGTGGATGGATGGATGGGTGAATGGGTGGATGGGTGGGTGGATGGAAGGGTGGATGGATGGGTGGGTGTATAGATGGATGGGTGGATGAACAAGTGGATGGACGGGTAGATGGGTGGAGGGGTGGATGGGAGGATGGGGGTGGATGGATGAACAGGTGGGTGGATGAGTAGATGGATTGGTGGGTGGATGGATGGATGGATGGGTGGATGGAAGGGTGGATGGACAGGTGGATGGATAGATGGATGGGTGGATGGACGGGCTTTAGGTGCCCTGGACTGGCTGGTCAGGGAGAGGATCTGGGGAGGGGATGAGTGTGTTAATTGTTTGAATAATGGATGGGTGGATGGATGGATAGATGGAAGGAAGAGAAAAGATGACTGTAGGGCACCAGGCATTTTGTCTGCCACCTGACTCCTAAGGACACTTTAGGATCCTCTTGCCAACACTTCATAGTTTGGAAGTGAGGTGGCAGTCAGAGTACCTAGTGCCCTAAAACCGGTCTTTCTTTCTCCCTCCTTCCATCTGTCTGCCCATCCACTTTTCAGTCTACCAACCCATCCATCTTCCCTCCATTCTTCCATCTATTAATTCATCTTCCATCCATCAGTCCAACAAATATGTATTTATTTATTGAATACCTGCTGTGTCATCAGCCCAACTTTTCCATGTTGATATTTCCATCTAGCCAAGAGTTATAAACCCAGGACTAAGCTCTTTATCTTTCCTTCTGCAAACGTCACAATAACCAAGAATATGCAGTAACTTTGAGGCACCTGAGGTTTTTTAGCAGTGGGCTACAGGATCTGAAATCCAGGCTTGAGACTGGGCCGCATGAAGAGTTTTAATGATGGCATACAGAGGGTTCATGTGGGCAGCAGGGATTCAAACACAAGTACCAAGAAAAGTCTCAATTGCACCTATTTTCCTTCAGCACTTATCATTTGAGATGCCCCAGTTTCATAAGATAATGTGAGTGAAATTAAACCTGAACAGCTCAAGACAGAGTAATTAATGATGTCCTGATTCAGTTACAGTTACTAATGGATGGGACTGATGCCTGAGGCAGCCATTTGCACAATAGCAGTCGGAGTGTAGTCCCCACTGGACTCCTGACTTAGGGCTTGCCAGAATCTGGACAAATTCTCTTTACCTCTCCTGCCTAAAGACAGGCCACAGTTGTATTCAGGCTGCCAGTGCAGACCACCAGCCACCATGACAGACTCCACGGTGACGTGTACCACCTGCTGCCAGAGACAGAGATTAGAGGCCCTGACTACTTCGGTGGACGGGGCCCATTTGGCCTCTCAGTTTAGTAAAAGCTACTTGCCAGCCCAGTGCTTCACACCCCAGGTCCACATCAGTGTCACCTGGAGAGTGTTTATGAAAAGAGTGCCAGGGTCCCAGGCCAAGTGAATCGGCATATCCTGGACCGGTGCTCCAGCATGTCTGCTCGGCCTTGCCCATGGTTCCAGGCTTGTTGAACAGGGAGCTTTCTTACATGCAACTCCCTGCTGTCTAGAAGGGGCTTGTCTGAGCTGGCTCCCCAGGAGGAAAGCTCCCGCCCTCCACTGGTGGCTTTTATAGGACGAATGCACTGTGGCCCAAGGTCTGCGGCTTTGTGGCTGGACCAGGGGACGTGGATGCCACCACGGCAAAGCCCCCGGGCCTTTGTGCTGAGCGCCCTCTCTCCCCACTGACCAGGCCTCTCTCTGGTGGTGGGCCTGGTGCTCTACATCTCCAGCATCAACAACGAGATGCTCAACAGGACCAAGGATGCCGAGACCTATTTCAGCTACAAGTACAGATGTCCCTTTGCCTTCACTGCCATCTCCTTCCTTTTAACTGAGGTAAACTCTGTCCTGCTGAAGAGACACAGGCTGGGTGGGGCTGGGCGCTGCCCCTGAGCCAGGAGGGGGTAAGCACTCTACAGGCATGCTGGACCACCCCTGCCACTTCCCATCTTCCTCCCAGCGTGTGCCACTCCCTTGCCTTCTTGGGTCTCCTCCATCCAGACTGTCCCCAGGGCCCTGCTCCTGTCCCCACATCCATTTCCTGGCCCCCGAGTCATGTCCTGTGCGGACCCCAGTCGGGGGAATCAAGGCAGGCCCTGCCGTGAGTTCCTCTCTGCCATCTTGTGCCGTAGAGTGCCGGGGTGATGTCCGTGTACCTGTT